TTTTATTGAACAACACTGTTGCAGTCCTCGATTCCACTCTAAGTTATACACTCTAAATCAGTGTTTCTTAAACTTAATGTGGATAAAACTTACCTGACAATCTTATAAAATTCAGGTTGTCATTCAGTATATTTGAGATGGCATGAGATTCTGCATTTCTAAGAGACTAGGTAACAATGATGCTGCTAACCCATAGATAAAATGTTTCATAGCATCACTTAGAACTTCCCACGTATGTGCAAAATAGGACGTGAAAAAGAATGTGCCTGGTGATTTTAGTTAATAATACTATATATTGCATATTGGAAAGTTGCTAAGAGGATACCTTAAAAGCCCTCATCACAAGAAAAAAAACTTTGTAATTCTATATGGGGACAGATATTAATTACAATTATTATGGTGATGATTTCAAAATATGTACAAATATTAAATCATGTTGTACACCTGTCATTTATGTAGTTATATGTCAGTTATACCTCAAAACATTTTTTAAAGAATATCAATGTGTAATATGTGTAATAATAAAAAGTGTAAATTATTCAACCAAAAACTGAATAAATTATAATAAATTCACACTATGAAATTATATAATATACATGTATGGGAATGTGTGTGTGTGTATATGTGTGTGTGTAAGTGAAATGGCCTATCTATATTTACAAGCATAAATCTTAGAAACATATTCCAGATCAAAAAACACACACACATTTCAAAATGTTAAATACATTATGATAAAATATATACAGAGTTTTGAAACATCCAAAAGAACAAATGTTATGGCTCCATAAACATTGTAAATTTATAAAAAATAGACAAATGACTTAAAGCAAATTCACTATAGTGGTTACTTCTGGGGAGTGTATGACAGGACTGGGATCCTGTGTGGTTATATACATGGAGGTTAGCACTTGTATCTGTAATGTTTTATATCTTTAACACATGAAGTAAATTCAACCAAAGAATAAGAGCTGATAAAACTGAGTGATGGTATAAAGACTTTATTCAAGATACTGTCTTTTTTCTCTATAGTTTGAAATATTTCACAACTAAAAGTAAACAAACACACATAAATAAATGAATAGTGTGAAAAGCTGAACAATGAATATTGAGGTAGGAATATGGAATTTTTTAATAGACTTTAAAACTTAACAGAAGTGCATTGTCCTGAAGAAAGTATGCATCTCATAAAAATACATATTTTCTGTGAACTTGTAAAGTCACAGATGATACTAATAAATGGAAAGGGGAAGAACAGCAAAATATTTTTTTTGCTATATACTTCATTTAAAATAAAAACAGGTCTCACTTGCCATTTTTAAAGCATTTCTTATAAACTGTTGACTATAAAAGGAATTTATACTTATTGAATATTTGGAAAATACATAAAAAGAAAAAAACTATGCATTTACTTAACACTCTGTTATAACTATTCCCCATAATAAACACCTTTATTCAACATTTTAGTGTTTTCTTCTAGTCACTCCATCTTTCTCACATATATGAAATAGATTTTGCACAAATGCATACACACACATAAAAATATGTGTATATGTATAGTCCCAATGTTTTACAAGATGGAGTCATACATAAATTGCATGTGATCTGTCTTATAATCAAATATATTTTCACTTAAATCTTTATTTTCACTGACTGTCATTGAAAAGTTCCTCTTTGAAATTTAAATACAGTAGTAGTTTAGCTATCATCTCTTTGTTTCACTTTTTTCCTAAAATTGCATGTGATCTGTCTTATAATCAAATATATTTTCACTTAAATCTTTATTTTCACTGACTGTCATTGAAAAGTTCCTCTTTGAAATTTAAATACAGTAGTAGTTTAGCTATCATCTCTTTGTTTCACTTTTTTCCTAAAATTGCATGTGATCTGTCTTATAATCAAATATATTTTCACTTAAATCTTTATTTTCACTGACTGTCATTGAAAAGTTCCTCTTTGAAATTTAAACACAGTAGTAGTTTAGCTATCATCTCTTTGTTTCACTTTTTTCCTAAAACACATGCTCAGGATCACTGTCCATGGTCAAGAGTCCTCAACAAGATATTTTCCTAAAGAAGGTAGTAGCTCTACTCTCAAATAAATGTAGGTTCAATATTAGTAATATTTTTTTCTCTAGAAAAAACATCACATGTAGTAGATTATAGTGTACTTAAACACTTCTGTAAATGAACATCTAGGGTTTTTTTCAAACAGCCATTATTACAAAGAAACATAATGCTTATTGGGTTGATCAAAATGTGACAACTCACAGGATCCACTTTCTACCTCATAATTGTCAAGTACTGTGTTCTCTTGTCCAGCCCTTTCATTGAGGAAAATAGAATTAACATCTTTTCCTATTACTTTTCAGATGATCTCTTTCTTTAAATGTAGTGAATTTTGAGCCCTTCTGTCTTTTTTAAAACTGGTCTTATTTCTACAAGATCTGGCAGAAATTTCTTGACCTTTCTGTTGTGACACATGTTGTTCTCTATTTTGAAATTCTATTGGTATCTCAATAGAAGCTAGAAAAATGGAGAGATATTCATTGCTCATGCAGTTTTTCCAATAAGTTTCATGTGGCTTTATTTTCAAATTTAAAAATTAGAAAATATTGGTTAAAGAAGTCTTCTTTAAAAATATTGAAAGCAGACAGTATTATAGTTAAGAGCAAGACAAATAACTATTAATACAATGGAGAAGTTAAAAGCAACTACATCAAAGTAAAAAAAAAGAAGTGAAAAGAAACTACAATGAGGCACGAAGTTTAGAAAACAAGCTCAAAGATGGAAATGTAAACATGTTAATTACACATCAATAAATAAAAATCAGCAGAACCCCCACCCCCATTTAATTTAATCCCACAGATGTTTATTGAATACTTGGTAGGTGACAGGCGCCACCAAGTCCTGAGGAGCTAGTGGCAAACAAGATCGACACAGGGCTTCCTCTTAAGAAGTTTAGTCTAGTAGAGAACCTATTAAACAAGTAATTGCAAAAGTGATGTGTGTCACCAAACAAGAAATTCAGGATGAACAAAGCCCATGTCAAGGGTTTTCTAAAGAGGATGTAGAAAGCCTTGAACAAATTATCACATGCATAAGTTCTTCCTCTTAATCACTGATCAACTATCAGCCAACATCATATTCAATACTGAAATGCTAGAAACACTGTTAACATAAGAAATAAGACAAGGATGACTGCTGTCATCAGTAATATTTTCATATATGTCCTCAACAGGACAAAAAACAATTCAGTACTATTCTTACAGGTAAGAAGCAGACTGACGGACAATTACTTATTTCAGAAAATTTAAAAAAATGAAGAGCTTCAACAACATTAACTCAGTATCAACACTATTTTAGGGCATACATTTTACTCCAAGGACTAGGTTTAAAAAAAAATCAAGTGAAATTGTGAACAAGGCATTTTCAATACAGTGAGTGAAGACAGACAAAAATGATTGCTTTATAATGTGGTGGAGAGCCATGGAAAGAATGAGCTTTGTGGAATAGGAAGGCCAATAAGCCCCCTTAGAAGTGAATCAGGAAAAGGCTTCTGAAAACATGTCAAGACAAAACAGAGCCCTGTAGAATAAAAATGTATAGATGGGAAGATTTTTCTGATCAACAGAATTGTTGATTTAAAAGTGTAGGTATAAGAAAGGCCTTGGCACATTCTATACATTGTTAATAAATTAGTGAGATGTAAGCAACCAAGGAGACTGGAAAAGAAGAAGAAATCAGTTTTCAGAGGTTATCACAATGTAATCATAAAAAGAAGTTAGACTTTCCCCAGACAACAATGGGCAATGATGAAAAGATTGCAAGCAGTGGGGTGTCATTATCAAATCTGTGTCTCAGAAATGCATTCCAACGTTAAAGTGCATGTTTAGGAGTTATTGCAGTAATTCAGGTGACAAATGGCTGTGGCCACAACTAGGAGAGTGGCAGTAGGATTAGAGAGAAAAGGCTGGATTCTAGAGATAGTACAGCCAGAGCAGTCAGGGACTTGGAAAGGGGCAGGCAATGAGGAAAACAGTTCAACATGACTCCACGATGGACGGTGGTATATCCAATGAAAACACAGGAGACAAAGGATTCTAAATGTACAGATAGTAAGTTCTGGTTTGGCTGTGTTGAGTTTGAAATGCCATGTAATGTTCCAATTGGAAATGTCTAGCATGAAGTCTGGTGATCAGAAAGATGTAGGTGGAGAAGCAGAATTGTGACCATCAATGTATGCAACAGAAACAAATTCTAGCCTTTGGCGATAGAGATAATTACTTAAGGTAAGCAGGTAAGACAACTTCCTTCCCCTCCCACTACCAATAAACCCAGGGGAGCAAAAATATTTTTTAAACATTTTTATTAACCCATTTTGGTTGTATTGCAAAAGTGATGACAGGTGACTTCAGAGTTCGTAATTTAGAGACACAGTTGGCATGAGGTAGGATTATCCGTACCAGTTAGTTATTCTCTACTGAGATTTTTTAACTAAGCTTGAATAAACCATGGATTTCAGAGTATGGGATCTTAGCATAAAATAATTTTCCCTAAGACCACACAACTGAAAAGATTCCCCTCTATACATATTCTTATCTATTGAACATAATCTGAATTTTCTATAGAGATAGGGAAGCAGATTAGCAGTAACCGGCCTTCAGATACTATCATTATCATGTGTTATGAGGAAGAGAATAACAATGAGCTAGATACTATTCAGGGCAAGAACAGTGCTATTGGTCTACAGCCAATTATGATTAATTCATTTAAAATGATTTATATGGTGGCTACCATAAGCCCAGCATTTGGTTAATAACATGGCATTCAGTTTTGGCTTCTAGGATATCACAGTCTCATTTCCCCTTAAATGGGTGCTGCATCACCTAAAATATAGTCAAACATAGTTATTGTTAATAACTTTAATAAGCATAGTAGGAAATCAAACTCTCATCTCCAATACTAAGAGGACAATTGCTGACAAAGAAACAAAAGGTTAATTTAATCAAAATTTCTCTCAATTTGAGGCTTTGCCTGGAATAATTTGAGCAGTACCTGTGGCCCCTTTGGCCCCTTCCCTGTGGGCCTTGTCTGGGAAGGTGGTGATTGACTTTGATGTGGTTTCCCAGGAAACAGCTGGTAGTTTTTATTACATATAAAGTCAAGCCAGGAGACCCCTGGAGGCAACCGGTGGTAACTGAGCACCTTAGTGAACACACACCCTGAAGGGGTAGATGCCGTGGAGGCTTTTAGAGGAGGGTGTGAGGAGGGTGTGATGGACAGCAAAGACGAGGAAGACGAGGAAGAGGAGGAGGGGGAGGAGGAGGAGTCTGAAAGCAGGGACTGTGGCTGAGAATTATTACTTTTCTTAACACAAAGCAGCCAGTCAACGGCTTGGGGCTGTTCGCTTACAGCTCTGTTTTCAGGGGCTGCCGTCAGGCATTTTTTCTTCATAATAAGCCGCTGGGTGATACCGGTTTCAGATGCAGGGAAGAATTGTGATGTTTTCTCCATTCCTTCAAGGTTGTTTCCAGGGGCTGCATCAGGCTGATTTTCTTTCACAGGGAATGAGAAAGAAGACGAGAGGGAAGTCTCTGGCAGGGAAAGGATGAGGCCTAACTTCACCTTGACTTCCCCCTCAGAACTGGGCTGAGGTGTTGGTATGACAAACAGCGTTGCCCTGCAAGGATCTTCCCTTCCTGCAAGATGGTTACACTGAGATTTTATGCAGGAGTCACATGCTAAACAGACCACATAACTTGATGAAAGGCGGGGACCAGGACGAGGATTTGGCCTTCCCCTCATCCTTTGAAAGAGAATCTGCCTGCGCAGATCCCTCTGGATTCTGGTCTTGGAGAGAGAATTGACAATTTTATTTACAACATCATCAGAGACAGTTCCACCTTTAACAATGCAGGGATAAATGTAATCTAAAGTCCATGAAATTTCTTAATTTTATTTTGTCTTTGCACAAAGATCAAAGCCGCTTTTACTCCGGAGTCTGGAGCCCAGTGTTGAAGCAGCTATGTTCCTGAGGCAGTGTTTGCAGCTTGAGAATGACTGATCTGAGACATTTGGTTTGGAAGGAGGTAAAGGCAAATGTGTGGCTCTGCGTTTGTCATTTGGTAAAACAGTGTTATGAAACTTGGAGTAGCAAACTGGTGAGCTCAGGTTCCTGATGGCACTATCAGGTGTAAGCACTGTGTGAGATTTGGGCTGGAAGAATGGCAAACTCTGAGTCTGATGGGAAGAATGTGGTAAAGGTGATTCCCTTGGTGTTGAGTGGGACAATGGTAAGCTCAGAACACTGTAATTAGAGCTGAATACAGGTGTCTGAGGTCTGGAGGGAGGTAACAGTGAGGTCCAAGCCACCTGATTGGGCTTCACCAAAGCTGATGGCTGAAGCAAGCTATTTGTTCGAGGTGCGGAGCTGAGTGTTGGTGAGCTCACAGATCTTTGACTGTGCTCTAATAAAAATGTCCAAAGGCGGTCCGATGAAGACATTTTCTGAGGCTTGGATTGAGGTAATGTTGAATTAAAGACTCTTTGATTAGGTCCCAAAGATGGATGACCAGAGAGTGTCTAGGGAAAATATTTCTTGATGTTTAAAGGAGGATAATGATGAACTTGAGACTCTTTGATTAGACTTCAGAGAGGGTCATGTCCAGCAAAGGCCTAGGGAAGATGAAATGGTAGGCTTGGAGAGGGGTAATTGTGAGCTCAGAGCTGTTTGATTGGACTCCAGTAAAGAGGATGATGTCTGAGATTTAAACTGGAGCAAATGTGAGCTCAGGGCTCTCCAAGTAGGCCACAATGAAGTTCTCTGGTGGAGGTCTAGTGAAGATCCATCCTGACGTTTGGAGTGGGAGATGGGTGATTTCAGAACCCTGTTAAAGAAGCCCTGTGAAATTGTGTCCTTGGCAGAGGGCAAAACTGAGCAGTTTTGCACCTTCTGCTTAGAGCTTACTGGACGTACCACAAGGTGATTACTGTGGGATAGCACAGAAATTGGTGGTGGCCAGTTGGTAAGAGTGTTCTAATGGCACAAAGTGTTGATCATAATATGCTAATTGCACCATCTTGTGTTAGTGGTAGAGGTCTTTTTGAAAGCAGTTGGCTTGTGGATTATTTTAGAAACAGTCCTTCAGCTGGATTCCATGGACAACAGATACTTTTAAATAAATAGTACTTGGTAGTTCCTAACTTTTATCTTATAACTGCTCTCTTAATTCCCAAATATTATCGAGTATCTCAAAACTGAGGTATAGATTAGGATGAAAAAACTTATCACCATTTGAGATTATCCTCTGTCTTCTCTTTAGTTTCCTAAAGTTTTTTCTTCTTGAGGATATATGCCTGTTAACAAAATAGTGAAGAGAATTCAAAAATCCTGATAGGGGTGTTAATTTCCTCAATGTGTTGTAGTGACTAGAGGATGGGATTTATGTTAATTCCTAAGCACTTACTCTGCATGTAATTCTTGAATTAAACTTTCTAGACCCCAGTTTCCCTTCTGTAAAACAGATGAATATTTAATTAATTGGGCTGAGAACTAAATAAGATAATATATACAAGCATGCATAAATATATATATAATGACCACAATGAAGTCTGTATGTATGCATATATACATGAATACATATATATATACACACACATACATATATGTGTACATATGTGTGTCTATCTATATCTATATATATCTGTGCCCAGGATATAACAGATGCCCAGTAAAAGGTAATAGTTATTTAGCTATTTCTTTAATAATTTAGTAAAAGAACTGTGATGTTTTTTGCATGAAATAAGAGAATCTTAGAGAAAAGTGAAATGGAAGTTCTGAAATGTTTTCAATTTAGATTCTGTTACCTATCATCTGCACCTTTTAGCTTACTTCCAGAAGCCCATGAATTCTAGTAAAAAATCAATTCAAACTTTGAATCTTTTTCTTATTTATCACCATTGCAGCTTGTGAAACCATTGACTGCTACCTTATAAAACTACCATCTTTATTCATGTCATTTTTTATGTTTCCTCTGATTCTCTACATTCATTCTCTCATTTCTCTCCAGGACTTAATTGAATTATTTTCTTTTGCTCTCACCTCAGTGCAATTCTCAGTATTGTATCACTGGTTTCTTCTCTTTTCATTTTATTCCTAAGTAATCACATTAGTTATATTTAGGATTTAAAGATGAACTACAGAAACTACATAAAACACAGAACCTTGTAACTGGCCAAAGCAATGCAAGCAACTACCACTCAGAAAAGGCAGATATACTGTTTCTCAAAGGAAAGCGCAGACTGTCACACACTCCGTGTTAGGGAGTTTTCATGGTCATGGGTTTGTCCTTCCGATCTTAGGGCTGAGGTACATGATAGGACAAAACACTACATGATTGCACAGACCCTGGGGTCTGCCACTTAAGTCATCAGCCTTAAGGCCCTTGAAGAATGAAAGTTGTCAAAATTTGGTTTCATGATTCTATGCTTCTATGAGTTGCCAATACAATTTCTGATGGACAGATGTATTCCTCATAGATGCCAACTTACCCAGTTAATTTACTATCAATTCTATTATTACCAGAAAGTTTTCCCTTTTGACAAGATGTCTTTTCATATACTTACATTTATTTTAAAATCTATCTCACTGGTGCCTTAGTTCACTTGTTTTCAGTCTTGAGTCATTCTTAATGGACTTCTTCAAGTACCAACAATACTATTTATATACCAATGACTTCCTATCTCTTTTTTGTCTCTAGTTCTGGTTTTCTCTGTAGCTTCAAAATATATTTCCAACTAATCATTAGACTTCTCTACCCATAAGTCCCAAAGACAATTCAAACACAAAACGCATCAAAACTCAGTAATTTGCCCTTCTAGAGAAATCTTTTCCTATATTTTCTATCTCATTTACCATAGCCTAGGCATCAAATTCAGAATCTTTGAAATCATCCTCACCTTCACCCTCCAAAACCATTTAGACACCAAAACGTTGATGTGACCTCTCTTCTATATCTTATTTCACCTTTTTCTATCCAATTTTACTATTCCAATTTATACTATAGGCACATTTCATCTAGACTCATGTGTTACATAAACCTCTATATAGGTGTGTGTGTGTGTATCTTTCCTATATATCTATACATTCCCCATGACCTCATTCACTCTCTTCCTTCTGCTCTGCTAGACATTCAAGAGCAAACTCTTGCTGATGAGAACAGCTGCTGCTCACCCAGAGATTTCCTTTGTTTCACTTATGTCTGCATGAGTAATGAATACTGAGGTACTTGTGATTGCTGGATTTTGTGTGGTATGATTTGACATCCAGTTCCCTAAATAAGGAAATGCCATATTCTACTGTTTGTGGTGTGGCACCCTAATAAACTTCTAAAAGATAGTATAGAATAATTTCATGACCTTGAGTTACGCACAGACTTCTGACACACAACATAAAAAGCAATAACTATTAAAAATTTATCAATTAAAATCAAGAACCCACAATCATTAAAAGATACCACATTTAGAAAGAGAATAGGCAAATCAAAAAATCTGAAGAAAACATATTTATCTGAAAAAATGTGGACATGGATATTATCATAAATATATCATACCCCCTCATAGCACCTGCATGTGCAAAGAAAAAGACAAACAATACAATTAGAATGATGGGCAAAACAACCGAATAAGCACCTCACATATGAGCATATACAAATATTAATGCATCTATGAAAAAAAGCTCAGCCTCAGCCTCATTGCAAACCAGTGAAGCACTTATTTAAGCCACAGAGAGATCTACTGCACATTATCAGAATGTGACTAAAATAAAATAGAGTAAAAACAGACAAAACCAAGAATTGGTGAGTATGTAGATTAATTAGTGCATTTTATATTATATGACATATATATATATATATATATATATAAAGTGTTTCACTCCTAGGTACACTTCAACAGGCATGCAATGAATCAATATTTTTATCAAAATACAGGTACTATGATATTCATTGGAGCATAATTCATAATAGTTTCAATCAATAGCAGACTATATAAATAGTGGTGATATATTCATTCAATGAAATATCAAACAACAAAAGTTAACAGAAAATCTAGCACCATGTAGCTACATGAACCAATCTCACATACAAAATTTTAAATGAAAAGAATTATATGCACAAAAAATACTTAGAAATTTTACATGTGAAAGTTCAAAATGAGGTCATAATAACAGTGGTGGTTAATACTAAAGAGAAAATACATTTGGGGATGTAGAAATCAGGAGCGAGCACAAAACTTCTGGGATGGTGATAATATTGTTTCTTGACCTGGCTAATGACTCTGTGGGTGATTTCACTTTGTGATAATTGAGTTTAAACACTTACGCTAAGTGGACTTTTGTATGTTTCTGACTTCAAAAGTACCTAACTTGATGCTAATTTGAAAAGACACATCTGAAACCAAATTGCACGGAAAGGTGAAACGTTAAAGGATGAACCAAGATCTGGCACACAGATGCAGTGAAAACTTGGAAAAAAACAAAAAATACCCACCCCAAATCGAGCACAATGTGGAAATCCTCCTGTCGTGCAGAGAGGAATAAAGGAACTCAAAACAAATGGAACCAACAGGAATCTATTTAAGACACAAACCAGAAAAAATAACATTTCTGAATTTTTTCCACTTTCAGACTTACTCAGCAAATGTCCCTTCCATTTCGAAAAGTATGTTTTGTTAAGGCATACAAATGCTAAAGATAACTCAGGAATTGGTGGAAATTGGAGTGAAGCTGTAACTGTGGATGAAAATGAATACCCCTTAAGAAAGAATTAACTCACAAATAGTCTCTGTACCCAAATTCTCTCTAGAGTTGAGTTCTTTCAAACTTTCAATTAAGAAATAATGTTATATGAACTTTTTCAGAATATGATAAATCTAGAAATATTCTAAATCTGTTCTATGAAACTGCTGTGCATAATTCTGATATTAAAACATTAAAATGGTTTAAAATTAAGGGGAAAATATTAAAATGTCACATTTCATGTGAAAAATTCCTTAAAAAATTAAGATTATAATAAAATAATTATTGACTATCACTAACTTGATCTTATACAATGTAATGATTATTAGTAAACATAATTTGTCATGTTCATAATTCACAAATATTAACAGATGTTCAAAAATGTTATTTGATAAAATCCAGCCCATTCCTCATAAAACTCAGCAAACTACAAAGAAAAACCTAGTTACTTAGTGAAAACAAATAACAATCTCAAAGCAAAATTAAATAATTCAGTTGGTATAGAAATATTAGCTAATCCCATAATAGGCTGATAATAAACCAGTAGGTAATAAATCTACTATCACTACTACAATTTAATGTTGTTTAAGAAGATCTGGCCAATGTACTAAATTATAAAAGCAAAAAATAGGGATATAAGTATTGAAAAGAAAGAGATTAAATGATCTCTAGGCATTGTATATGACTGAAAACCCAATTTAGACTATTGAAAACCTATTAAAATCAGTTATATGTTAAAATTCAGAAAGTTCAATAAAATCACTGTTAAGTTATTACATATGGATCAAGAATTTTCTTAAATATCAACAATTAACCAGATATATAGTGGCCATAAATATTCCATGTGTAATTAGCTCTAACAAGACAATAAAAAGTACAAGCATCCTATTACAAAAATGAGCAGTTATTTGGAAGCTTTACAGAAAAGAAATACAAATGCCTAGTAATTTAAAAAAGCAACAGTTTGCTATGCCTAGTTTTTTTGTATCTTTCACTTCCTTCCCGATCCATAGATGCTCCTTGCTCCTTCATTCTATTTCCTTTTTCAAAACATATTTTTAATTAAAAAAAATCAGAAATTAACTTTTTCATTAGTTAATAGGAACAAGCAGAAAATAACTAAGGGTACACAAGATTTGAAAAACACTATCAACTAATTTGACCTAATCGATATGCATAGAACCCTCTACTCCAAAATATTCTTTTCAAATGCACATGAAACAGTCACCAAAATTTTACATATCACACAACAAATCTCAATAAATTTATAAGGATTTGAATTAT